GGGTTATTCACGACGTTAAGGAAAAGACCGGCTGTCGTAGCTGTGTTGGATACGGAAACTGTCAGATGACAGAGCCTGCTGCCCGTAGGCCTCACAAGTACATGTAGCGGATCAAAGCGACTGAAGAGAATCCTCTTACCAAAATGAGCTGTTTTAATATACGTTCATTAATCATGAAATCTTTAAAATAATGAGCATTTAAAATGTACTGCGAGGGAATTTATTTTACTGTACTGCTATACCTCAAATGAGACGTCAGTTTCCCACCGGAGTAGCAAAGGCAGCGACATTGCGGGTCATGTCTTCATCTGATAGTGTATTTTGTCTGGTTCAAAAATAAAGAACACAAACACTGGATTTTGTTGGTTGTTGCGCTCATGTGAGGATTTCTGCTGTACATTCGTCGACAATGAGACTTATGACGACAGTCATGTCAGGGAACGCCGTAAAATCTCGTTCCTTGTTCATCGGCCAAAAACACTTATACTCGGTTCGACTAAACCGTATGATGTATTTTATTCGACTACCCTTCTCAGTTAATTATACCAGTTTGCAAATAGCAATGATCGAGAACATCAGCAGCTAAATTTATTTTCATCCTCATCATCCATATCCGCTTCTGCTTTCCGGTCGCGGAAACAAACGCGTCAGACAGTGCTTCCAACGTTGCCAAACCGGTACCAGCGATTTAGTTTCGGCAGAAGACAACTGAAATCTTGAACATTCTCTTTACATATATATTTGCACCAGGTTAATCTTGACCGTCCCCTGGACCTTCTACCTGTCGGTCTGGCACGAAAGAGTTGTTTAGCCTTCCTTTATGGAGGCATCAAAGCACATGCCCACACCATTGCAGCTATGACTTCTCAATCTGGAGAAGCAAAGGTTGTACACCAAGGCTCTCCCGGATTTATTACTCTGGACTATGTCGGGACACGTAGGGTCAGAGACTCGTCTCAGAAAGCCCATTTCAGCGTCGTACCCAAGTTCGAAGCGTTTCAGTCATGGTGCACGACTCATGACCGTAGGTAAGTACGGGAATGAACATCGACTAGAACAGTGATAGGTACTATTCCGATTCAGCCCTGCTTTAGTCACAAAGATTCGCTCTAGCTCACACAGAACGCCACTGGCTACATCAGTTTGCCGGTCGATCTATTCCTCAAATTTTCTGGCAATACCAAATATGATTTCGAGGTACTTCAACATCTCCATCTGTTCCCCTGCCTTTCCGTTAATCTGAAGAGAGCGACGAGCAAAGAACGAGAAGGCACTTGGCTTTTCGTTTTAGATGCGTTCACACGCATTCCGGTCACGTCGCTCTCGGCTGCGAACCTTACTAGGTAGCACTGAAGATCAGTTTCAGAAGATGCTAATAAAACAAGGTCATCTGCAAACAGCAACCTTCTCGACTTCACATCTCCTACACCGATACACTCATCCTTGGCTTCTTCTGACTCTTCTGTCCATGTACAACACAAACAGGATAGGGGACAGGACGCAGCTCTCGCCGAGACCAGTGCGAACGTTGAAGGGCTTCGACTTAACGCCATTTACTCTGACGCAACACTTCCTAACAGAGTACAGTAATTGGATGGCCCTTGGCAGCTGACCATCTATCCCATATGCTCGAAGGCATGACCACTGAATGTTGCGTGGGATCCGGTCATAGGCTTTTTCTAGGTCAACAAAATACATGTACACCGGATGGGCGTACTCCCACGATTTTTCAACAGTATGGCGCAGGGCAAATGTATGGTGAGAGGTGCTTCGACCGGGCCGGAAGCCACATTGCTCTTCTTGTATCTTGAGGTCAGTTATTCCGCGGCACCTCCTTTCTTGCACCATTTCGTAGACTTTACTTGGAATGCTCAGTAATGTAATGTCCCTATGCCCCTATAAATGGAGCACTCCCTGTAGTCTCCCTTCTTGAATATGGTTCAACAAAGCCCATTCTTCAGTCCGCTGGTGTCTTTCCCGTATCCGTTGCAGTGTGATAGACACGTATGCTATCTCATGCCTTATTTGCCTAATGCCTTGAGCATTTCAAGGCGGATTTCATCAATTCCAGCTGCCTTTCCACATTTCAAGCTTTTCACAGCTTGTGTGGTTTCGTCTACAGAAATGGTAGTATCCGTTTCCTGCTGCTCTACAGACGAGTCTTCCTGCGGTTGCTCAGGGTTAATGAGTTCCTCAGTGCTCTCTCTCCATCGCCGAAGAATATCGTCATCCTTGGTAACAGGGTGCCCAGACCTGCCCTTCAAGACTATGAGACCGCCCTTCTTTTCACCTCGGAGCCGGCGGATGGTCTGCAATAATACTTTGTTTGCCGTGTGGAAATTCGACTCCACCTCACCGAACTTCACCCAAGAAGCTGCTTTGGCTTTCGCCACTGTTTTCGCTGCCGCTTTGCGTGCCTCGACATTTCGCACG